CGAGATCCCGAAGTGAATGTCATACTGTCCTGCTTCACGCCACGCTTGGCCTTTGCACGCTCCAAGTGCTTTTCGAAGTGGTTGAGCTCGATGCCAAGTACCACATCAGAATACATCTGAACGAAGCGACGGTAGCCTCTACTACTGTTCTTGGGGCCCTGGTAGCATCAGCAACTGCGGCACAACCCTGCAAAATCGTGCTGAATGAACTCCGAAAAGCTGTCAAAGGCAAAGCGCCGGTCGCCAGACTGCTTCGCCAAGGCCTCCACGGTCTGATCGTTCAGTCCCAAGTTGAGAACCGTATCCATCATACCTGCCAGAAGTGACGCGTCCGTCATGTACAAACTAAGCCTCTTTGTCAAAGAAACCTTGCACTGTATGACACGTGTGGCAAGCGGCAGGATTTAGGGCCTTAGGGCTTAGGTCACAAGGTGCATGCTGCAGAAATTATCAACGCCCCTTGTCCTGGCATGGATGCTCGCGCCCCCGAGCGGACGGAGACCAGAAGCGGGTTTGCGGAGTCGCCAAAGACTCGGCCGGTGCGCTGCTGGACCAATGCCAGCGCCTTCTCGACCTCCAACAAGTGACAAGGCAACAAGGCTGAAATCTACCCGATGCTATCGTCTTACTCCTGGCGTTTGTCTAGTAGATGTCTCAGGCGCCCTATGTGGGTGAAGTACTTGCTGTTCTTTAACTCGCGCTTGTAGGCTGATAGCCTGCATCATGCACATTGCTTCGACAAACCGCCTGTCCAGTGAGCTCCTGTGGATACTTGCAACCGTTCTTGTAGAAGTGGGTGCATACCTTGGCAGCAACCACAAGCTCAACCCACGCTGGCCTCCAAAACCTACACATGGAAGAAGCTTAATGAAGCAAAGCTGAGCTCAATGCCTCGGTCGTGAGGGTGAACCCGGGTGGCACAGGCAGCCCGATGGAAGCCATCTCCTTGGCTGCAAGTTTACGGCGTGACCGGTTGGGGTCTTGAATCAAGCTTCGTCCATTACTTGCAAACTGCTGGGACAAGATTCTGCAAGGTTGGCACCCTTTCCACCGAGAAGATTTTTCATTTCCGAACGGCCATCCGCCTGCGCAACAGTGTGAAAGGTGAATCCTTGCAGGCCTGCAAACGCCATGCGAACCCAGATGCGGGCTTAACACAACTCCAACACACAAAGACAGAGATCAATCGACTTCAAGCCGTCAACTGACCGGAGCAAGTGCCACAGCGCCTCTCCGTCACCAAAGTTGTATACCCAGGTTGCCATGTCTACGGGACGTCACTGAATCCTCGCCGCAAGTGTACCTTGAACCTCAAATGCTGCAAGCGGTGTACAAGCACGTAAGGCTTGAAGCCTGTTCAGCCAATCAGCTTAATTCAAGCCTTTACAGCTTCCAGGCTTTGTGTTGTTGATCTGATCTGCTGGGGCTTCAAAGGTGAAAACTGGTCGGCTTGTGCAACACTCTTGTCTTGACAACGAATGGCAACGGGCGATGCAGCTTCAGTAGCTCTTGGCACCGGGCCCGGCCTTGTCGTTGGGCGTCAAACCTGAAAATGCCAAACGGTCCAACTCAACTGGTCAACTCGTCATTCGGGCGGAACCTTTGCTTGAAGAGGTAGCAGTGGCCCAGAACGGATGCAGGGCGGGCATGATGATACATTCTCCACCAATCCTGCAGAGACCGACGCCCGGTGCGACACACAGCTACCGATGTATCAGGCAACACCGTCTGTCCACCACTGTGTCGAATGAGTGCACGTTTCGAGGCGTGGTGCGGCCCTGACAGATTGTCTACAATCGAGGTTAAGATGCAGTACCGTTGACAGCAGCCGGACAAGCGCCTTGTCGCGCACCCACAGGCACCTGTCAAAGGCTTGGCTTGGCTTCAATGGCACCCAGGACAGGACCGGAAAGCATTTCAAGGTTTGCCGGCTTGGCCAACGGTGCTGCAAATCCCCCGGGGGCGTGATGGAGCCTGAGACGAAGGGAGCAGCACAAGGGTGGCTGACGCGAGCTGCCTGCACGCCACTCCATTTCCCAGCTGTTTCCCAAGTTCGTACCTGCAGTTGAGACTGAAGAGCCTTCATGCTTTCGTTGCGGCAATCGCGGGTGCAAGA